TTGTTTATAACCACGAATTTCTTCTAATGATTCTTTTACCATATTATTTAATTGGGCAAAAGCAATCTTATCTTCTTCGTGCCAATTTCTATGAGTTTCCTCTAATTCTTGAGAATCAACAAAATGTCGAATATTAATAGCAAAATTAAGTCTATTACAAGATTGATCTAATCTTTCCTCTATATCTTGAAACTCTGCTGCAAATTTCTTTGCATAAAAAATTTTTAATCCATATTTCGCTTCTGCATGTTGTTTAACCACAGCTCTACCATCCTCTAATACAATGGCGAAAGCTTTTAATGCGCTGGCAAAACTTTTATCTTCAATTTCTTTTGGATTCTCCGCTAACTTATCCAGTAATTCTTTTGCAGAGTCCCGAGCTATTTTGAACTGTTCACCAAGCCTTTTACATTCAGCTTTACAATGCCTAGCAGCTCCGGCATAAGTAATGATATCTTCAACAAGAAATGCAATGTTACCAGTTAAAACGGCGATAACCGTATGGTTTATTATCTTTCCTACTTCGACAGCTCCTTCAATATATTTTGGTAAGCTTACACTTAATCTCTGCCCCAAACCACCCATTCCAACACCGAAACCAGAAAAAGCTTGATCAAACCCCGTTTTATCGTCGTCTAAACTATTAGACCAGCCCATAAATTGCTGAGCCATTTGAGAAACAGAAATATTACGGTCACTATAACTATAAATGTCGGTTGAAAAATCACAACTAAAATTTGAGCCCGGAATAGATCTTTTTTTTGTCTTTGAACGTCTAGAAGACAAACGAAAATGAGACATTACGTACTACATAACTGAATGTTGTCGCTCCTCTGTGACACTTTTTTTCAAGAAATAACTAGTTTTTCTTATTTATCTGCTTTTAGAAATTTAATCGCAGATTGTTATATAAATGTTGTGTAATAACTGTTTAATTTAATAAAAAATAATAATAAAATTTCGATTTTTTATTTGAAGAAATAAAGTAGTCTATCGAATCAATTGTTGGATCAAACTAATCCCATAATATCTGAGATAATAGTCACCTCATGCGAAGAAAATGAAAATGATGTAATATCGAGATTATTTACAAATAACTATCTAAATTTGCCTAGAAAAAAAGTCGAGTTTTAATTCGCTATATAAACAATTACGACATAAAAAGGTCATACTTCTCATTTTTTTTTTTTATGATCACAAAAAAAAAAAATTAAAAAATATATTGATTAGCAGAATGCGAGAAATTCTAATTTTGATATATTATATATATATTTGTATGTTACATTTAATTTTGTTAATGCTATTAACATAATAAAAGTATTATATTTCTTTTTTATTAGCTTTGTGGTGGTAATTCTGACCTGGGTTGCTGTTGTAACATCAATAGTTGTGACCTTGATTTTATTTGTTCACTTAATCGACGACACTCTTCTTTCAACACCATATTTTCCGTCTTTTCGTCCTCAACAATCAATTTCTCACAAAGATTCGTGTAAGTAGTCGGGCATAATTGCTTATAAATAAAAATCATTTAGTTTTATAATTCTTCACATAAATGTGATAAAGCCATCACTAAAATAATTAAATTACCTCTGCTTCTTTCTTCAAAAGATCTGTATACTTATCGAAAATTATTTTTCGTCTTTTGTAAAATCTTAATGCATTTTTAGTAGCTATAGAAGAAATGTGTAGTGTATTTAAAAAAGTTACTTAAAAATACCGTTCAAATCAAAATTTATAAAATCCTTACCATCTAAATCTGAAATTTGATCATTTCCTTTCATATCTTCGTCGGGATATTCAAAAACATGATACGGTAAAAGTCTTGCAACTGCATCTTGAAAAGATCGGAATGGAGTCTTGTAATCAGGTTGCAATACTGCGATCTGATCTGTTTTTGTTGCCGATTCAAATCTATTAAAAAAAATTGAAATTAATATCTAATTGATATCTATACAGTTAACTGGGATAAAAAAAAATCGTTTCTTACCTTTGCATGATATCTAAATGATGATTAATTTCTTCCGTTGTTCTTTGAGTTCCCGTTGACTGAAATGGTCTCTTTACCCCACGTGATATGGATGGACGAGATTGTGGTGTCGCAGAATAATACTGTACTATCGGACGAGTAGTCGGTGTCGTACTAGTATAATAGGTGGGTTGAATAAGTTGAGAAGGCTGAGACGAATTTGTATTTGTCTGAATATTCATCTGAGTACTCATTGGTATTGTACTTGTCGGTATGTGTCGGTATTGTGTTGAATAATCTTGTGAGAACTGCGAATCTGTCTCATCCATACTTCGTTTCTTGGCATATCTTCCTGTTTTTGTGTATCTCCTTGTGGACCTTGAAGATCCATCAGGATAAAATGTATCTTCTGGTGTAAACAATGAAGATGAATGATATAATGTCTGTGAAGTCAAATTAAGAGAAATTGATCTGTCTAATGATTTGTCAGATGAATGCATCTCGTGAACTAAAGGAGGACGTGCCGCTAATGGTATATACAATTGCTTGGTTGTTGCTTGTGAATTTAATGGTGTCGAATAATTTATTGATTTGGTTGCCGTTATTGATGTTGATGATGTTGATATTGGAACTGTTGTAATTTTCGTTCGAGTATGTGATTGAGCAACTGTTGAACATGGTTCTTGAAGAACAGACGAAGGTCGTATTGACTGTGATGCGGGAACCAATGAAGTTCGTGATCTCATTGAAGAGATCGAAGTCTGTGGACAAATGTCATTTTCAATTATGGATGATCGATCTACAAGTGATGTAGATGGCGGTGACCGTGATACATTCGTTGAAGCAGCGTTCGTTGATGAGGTCATGGTAATTTCTTGATCCTGTGTGGACTGAGACATTGATTGAGTTACAATCGCATTTGAATCGTGCAAAGTTTTTATTTCTTTAAGTAATGCTTCTCTTTGTGTATCAGATAAAGAATTAACCGACATATTGTCCGCTAGCCTATATATTATCTCGCCCTTCTTCTTATGCATAAGCACCGTTAGACCAGCTAATTTCATCATCTTAACTTGCCCTTCTTGTTCACAAATTTGGTGAGTCGCAAGCATTGTCTGATGGTTTGATGAGGTCAAATTATTAGAACGTTGTCCATTTAAATTTCCCGTAACAGAAAGATTATTCCGTAAATTACTTGATAAAGCATTAACTACACCATTATTTTGATTTTGATGTCCATTATTATTATTATTCCTATTTAAATCTTTTTTTTCTGTAGAGATTTTTTTAACTCCATTCAAAGTTTCATTTGTCTTTTCGTTCGTTTGTCTTGACGAATTTCCAGCAGGCTGAAGGTTTGATAGTTCCATCTTTCCTCGATCATTATTAGTTATACCATTATTATGAATTTGTTGCTGCATAGATTGTTTATGACTTGATTCGTTTTTAATTGAATCTTGACTACTACTATCACTTAAATTTTCAGGTGTTTCATTATTTAATAATGATTCAGATATATTTTGTGAATTTGGACTTGTTGTCTTTTTCGGGGATTTATGCAATGGTTCGTGTTGTTGAAATACAAATGTATTATTCTATAAAATTTTTTTTTGATTCAAAATTCAAAATTCAAAATCTAATATCAATATAGAAAATAGAAATTAATAAAGAGAAAAAAAAATAAAGTATGATTTATTACCTGTTTTTCCTTTAATAATTCAACATTGCTCTGCGAATTATCATCAATTTCTAATATTTCAATATCTTCTTCCTTATTATAATTTAAAACTTTAGCCATAACTTGTAACAAAAAAAAATATATATATTATATATATATAAAAATATAAATATCTATTATATATATATATATATATATCTCACAGTAGTTATAAAACAAAAGAGATATTATTATTATTATTATTTTTTTTTTTTGAAAGTTAGTTTTGTTTCGCTATTTTTTTTTATTTCGTTGAAGTGAGAATTAAATTCAATTGGTAATTGAATAGACAGTTGACAATTTCTCGTTTCTGTAGGTATTTTGTGAATGCAATTAAAAAAAAGACTGTCAGAAAAATTTGACATATTTGTAGACACCTTTCTTTATTTTATTAGAACAATCTATAACAATGCACAAACAAAAAATCGCTTTCAGTAGTATTTACAATAAACTCTCAATCCTCTTGCTTTACAATTACAGAAAAGTTTTTTTACAAAGCAAAGTTACATTGAAATATAAGAAAAAAAAATGAAAAACATTTTTAAAACGAAAAACATAAACTAGTGATCAGTGATGGTAAGGATTAAAAAGGCGAGAAAAAAGAAAAAAAAAATACTATGAACAGGATAGATGGAAAAGAACAAAAAAAAAGAATTCGCAAGAAAAATTTTGAAAATTATAAATCCGTAACTTGGTTTATAACTTTAGACTTGTCAACTCTCTACTTTGAAAGCGCAAACAAACATCCACAGCAGAAAAAAGAAAAATGTAGTCAAAAAAAATATATTTATCGTACCTTACGTCCCAGGTTTTTTTGGAAGTAATTTGAGGGATTTTTGGCCAAACCATCTACCTAGGGCGCACGTTGAGTCGTTGGCTCAATGATCTAGTTTAAGTTGCTTATCGTAGAGTTAAAACTCAGCCTCATTCGAATCGTTTGTGGTTGATGATTTAGCCACTTTGACCAAAATTATCAAGTTTATTTAGGTAATGACCATAAAGCGGGCCAGATCGAAATTTATTAAATTTAGCCACATAAAAAAATAAACTGTGGCATATCGTCAATTGTATAAATTTGCAAAATAAATTAACTATTATTAATTAAATAATTTATAGATCTTTTTTTTTCAATTACTTTTTTTAAATTATTAACTATGTAAGAAACTTGTTTAATGATTAAACCTATTAATGTTAACTGGCTAGCCAGCAATACATAACTTAAAATAATATGGATGTCTATGTAATTTTTATATATTATGTTTTGTAAATGAGGCATTATTTGTTCTCATCCAGAAACACACCAGAGGAAGGAGATTACTTGTAAGCTTTACCGAGGAAGACTACTTGAAGTTGATCATAACTGTTACAAAGGAATAAAGTGGAAGTTTTCATTATTTAAAGAATTTCTCAGCAGAGTAATAACGAAAAGATATTAATAATTTTAAAAACAACTTACCCAGCCAATACACCAGCACCAGCAATAGCACGAAGAATGTTTGCACCAGCGCCTTTAAACAAAGACATTGTTCCTTCTTTGGCTACAATTTCCTTAAAGGCATGATAAGAGGATTTATATTTTACGGCTTCACCAGAAGTCATCATCATACGACGACGTACGGTGTCTATGGGGTAACTTGCAAGGCCAGCTCCAATGGTCACAGACCAACCAAGCAAGAATCTAGATTATATAATACATACAAGGTTATAAATTATCAGCATAATGATCTAACGTATCTGAACAATCCTTTATATAATATTGAACACAATTCATAAGAAATTCAATACTTACGATGCGAGGAAGTTGTCCTTAAGCGTACCAGTAAGGACAAGAGGTTTCAAAGAATCGAACATACCGAAATAAAGACCTCTGTAGATTATGATTCCTATTATTGAAATTATAAAAAAAAAATTATTTGTCATTCAACATAAAAGGACTTTTATACTCTGCCTGAAATGCGACGAGTTGTATTCATTGCTGAAATGTCATGACTACGCCGGATTAGGCAAACGCATATAAGCCAGTATCTTTGATGCATCATTAAAGGCACAATACGCGTAATCCTTCTTATACATCAAAAATAAGATTCGTCTCTGAATTTGATTTGTCCAAATATCAAATATGTCAAAATGTTATAAACTTACCGACACAAGAAATATTGAACCCTAAATTATTCACAATACAAGATAATTTTTACATAGAAATTAGAATCATCATGATAATTAAAATAATACACAAGATCGTAAGTTTTGAAAAAAGAATTCCATTTTACCTCTGTAAAGACCAACGACACCATCTGATTTAATTGTCTTACGATAGACGTCAACAAGACCATTAAATTGACGTTCACCACCCTTTTTGGCGGCTTTAGCATCGTTAGCAAGACGAGTTCTAGCATAGTCAAGCGAGTATACAAAAGTCAAAGAAACAGCTCCAGCTGCACCACCAGAAGCGATATTTCCGAGAAAAACTTTGGCATAACCATCTTTGTCTTTCTTGTAATTAAACATTCGCTTAAACTTATCCTTAAAAGCAAAATTCAAGGCTTGTGTAGGAAAATATCGAATAACATTGGCAGTATTGCCACGCCAAAGATTAATAACTCCCTCATCCTTTATTGTTCGGGAAAAGCATTCACCAATGCCCTTGTATGGTGTAGCAAGACGACCAGACTTGAGCATCTCGTCTTGATTTTGAATAAGTAACTTGACACGTTCGATAGGGGCAGCAGCGGTCTTTGAGACAGCAGCAGAAACACCGCCCATCATGAAGTCGAAGAAAAAGGAAGTATCTTTCTTTTGGCCTGACCCTGACATTATGAATATTATTTTAGAGTGGGGAGAATTAAAATTAAAATCGAGTTACCAACAAATAGTAGAGAGAAAAAGACGGATCAAAAAAAAAAAATTTCTTGATCTTATAGAAAATCGGTTGAAATTTTTTTTTTTTTTAATTTACTTTTATCAGATATAAGTGATTGGTTATCCATTCTCCTATCCGAGAATCTCCGGTTTTGGTGGTGTTTCATCTGCAAGGAACTCGCAGATTGGTACATTTTTAGACAATTCAATTGAATAAATTACATAAAAAAGCACTGATTTGATATTTTTTTTTGAGAAGTATTTCTAATTCCATGACAAAAGAAAAGGTATTTCATTTTTTTTTTTATTTTATCAAAATTTTCTGCTTATTATGATGAGACGTTTTTTATACGTTCCAAATTATTCGGCTTATTGTCGGATGTGTGATGGTGACTTTATGACTACGTACGGTATCTGACGAGAAACTTAAAAAACAAATTTTAGTTAAGGAGGTTTTCGTTGATCTAACTTCAGGCTTTCTCTTTTGAAAAAAATAAATAGGATACGAGTGATAGCCACGTGTCTTTCATTCGAACATTTGAAATATTTTAATGAATTTAATTTAAATTTTAATACTATCGTTCATTTATAAAAAGTTTAATATGTGTATAATTAACCAATGAAATCTTAGATCAAAAATAATGATAATCAATAAAATACATATTTTTTCATTTTGATTTTATCAATAAAAAATAAAATGAAGATAAAGAAACTTATGGTTCGTTCAAGAAAACTTGATCATAAAAGTCCTTGTACTCCAGAAATAGCTGCTCTTTTAACTTGTTGGGCAACTAGTTCAGTTGATTCTCCTTCCTGTGTACAAACTGTTCAAGCACTTACTGAGTGTATGCGTAAAGTGGTAATGTATAAAGTCACTTCATCATGTCAATAAAAGTCCAAAAAATTTTAATAATATATTTTATTTCACATATTTAAATTGTAAAAGCCAAAAAATTCAAAACATGCAACTACAATCAATTACCATTTAGCTCGCCTTGGTAAATTCTTGTGATAGGATTGAAATCCAAAAAAAAATTTGCATTTTTATGATTATAAATGAATAAAGATCAGGTGCGTTTATTCGCAATAAAATTTGTTTAAAAAAAATATGACATGTTTATCCTTTCTTCAGTTTAGATAATGATGTCAAAGATTGATACAAAAACTCGTGGATGCCAATAAATCCAAGTTCGTGAAGTTCATTCAAAAAATGAACTCTATAATCGGTATATGTCATTTGCAACCCACCCGTCTGAAATTAGATTGTTAAATTTTTTTTTTAATTTATAATTTAACAAATTCCAATAAATATTATTTAATGAATTTATGGTACCTCTTTCAATGAAAATTGAGTCACAGGTGATGCGAGCTTCTTTGTAATATTTTGAGACGAATCTTCCAAATCCTATTTTTTCCAAACAATATCAAATATCTAAAAACAATTATTTTCTAATACATATAATCAATAAAGTTGATACCTGGACACAAGACTTAGACAATGCAGCCAAAGATGGCAAATGAGTTATTGAGCAACTAAATACCCAATTTTCATTATAAATCTCTTGCAGATTTTGGATAATATCCCTACGATTAAACGATAAAAGCATTAGAAAGGCAAATTAAATATGTAAATTATTACATATAAACTTACTCATCTAACTGAAAACCTTTCGCATTTTTATCATCTTTATTAAAAGGACGATTTCTCCACAAACAATTGCAAATATCCATGACAAACGAATTAAAATAATTTATATAATTACGGTTATGGCGCATTCTAATTCGTCGTGAACCTTTTTCAAATTTATCAAATGCTTCTTTATATCTACAACAAATTGTTTCATTTAAGGAATTACATGATCAACAATTAAATAATTAAAAAGTAAAACTCACCGTAAAACAATTCCACAGATTCTAGACAAGCTCATTCCCGAAGAAAAGAATGCTCGATAGACTATTGATGATGAAGGAATAATAATCATATCCCAATTATGATTAAGTTGTAGGTTCGCTATGGTTTCAAAGGCGGAAAAGATTGCATGCTGAACTTCTATATCATCATTTGTGCTCTGTTGTATAAAACTCAATTGGATTAAATTGGTTTATAAATATTATTGATCTCAAAATACTTGTAAAATATTTAATATTTACCTCGAGAGAAGTAAGTGAGAGTTGATTAATATGATTAATGAACTCTTGAATTGTTTTAGAATGATCTCCTTCGGTTGAAAGTTTTAAGAACGAATTCTCACTTAATGCAGAAATAAAGATGATATTATTAAGTAATAATCAAAAGTCTATAAATGTTAACGAATGTTACTTACAAATTTTCTATTTCACCTTCATAATTTTCTTGGTGTGTATTAGTTTCTTGATGTAAAATCCAATGCGTAAACAGATTCGTATAACAATGTATTAATTTGGCCTGATATAATATTAGATACTAAGATCTATCTATAGAAATCAATGTTACACTTTAAAATGATGAATACCTTCCAATTTGGTGTTGATTTTTCATGTAACTTTTGCAATGGTATTAAAAATTCATTGGATAATTCTAAATAAACGTCACAAAGAATTATAAATAATATATCTATCTCAGTTTTATAAAAATGTATTGATTTTATTATACAACTAACGTTTGAAAGGCACAGGTCTCAACAATGACAGCAACTTGAAGATTGCTTCTTGATGTTCGATTCCATCCCATGTTTGAACGTACTTTGCTAAGAACTCTTGAATAACAGGAAGTAACTCCTGATAAAATAATCTTTAAATATGGATATATATTATAATAATACTAATAAATAAAATAATTAAAAAAGAAAACCTTCATGAATTCCGTTAATGCAACGATTTTTGTCAACAAACTGTTAAATAATGCTTTTATTTCAACTGTATTATCATTCCAATAAACTAAATCCATAAGACATTGTTCAAGCCAATAACTGATCCTCGCAATAATAACCTCTACAAATATAATAAAACAAGTCAATAACAATAGTAAATAATTAACTCTCTTGTGCATTTTTTGTTATGATAAATTTTACGGACTTTCAGGGTTGCAAACAACGATATGTTGCAACATTCGATTTTCCAACACAGAAGCTAATTGACTTGGTAAATCAATTTTATCAATGTTGGAAGCAAGTAACTTAACATTCATAATTTCTTCCAAAGTTATTGAATTCTAACGAATAATTAATAAACATATTAAGGTATATGTACCTAACTCTTGATTAAGAGGAAAAACAACATGTCATGGTGCTATCACTTACTTGAGTGGCGTTAAACGTATGCGCTTTTGGAACCTCTATATGGTCTAACTTTCTCCTTTTTGGCTTTAATTATGTGTCAAAAGAACAAATTAGCATTGATTTTCTTCAAAAACAATTGACATTAATTATCTTACCGTTGATTTAAAAATCAATGATCTCGTTAGATGAGTATCATTTAAACTTTTATCACAATTCCATTTTCTTTGAATTTGGTTAAATAATTGAAGCCACGCAACATCTGGGCACTAATAAAGATACGATGAGAAATAATTTTCATAACACACAATAATCCAATTGTTTAAAACTTTTTCATACTTTGAAAATAGAACCTTTTGAAGATGGAATGCGAATTGTCACTAAATTTGGAAAAAAGGTCTTATAAAGTGTTAGTAACCCAAGAAGATGCGGTTCAGGGCCATATCTGTTTTGAAGATCTACTCTATTAAATAAAAAATATTAACTCGAAAATGAGCATTTATATAAAAAATTCACTAAAATAATAATAATAATAATGAATACAATTTGCGTATTCTATAAGATTTAACATGTTCGCGTCGTGTCATTAAATATAAAATATGGCAGATAAGTGGCCTTTATATAAATTAATTAATGATTTATTAATTTAGTTCTTTTACGAATAGAATGCAGCAATTCATTATTCTTACCTTAGGGTGTCATATTCAATATAATGAATAATTACACCATAAAACTTTAGCAATTCCGAATGATCCTCAATTACATTATATACAATAATGATCCAACGAAGTAAAAGAGCCTTTTGAATCGAAAATAATGTGAGCTTTCAATATCGCAAATTTGTCTTATACAATCAAGAAATTAAAAAGTAATAAGGGTACCTGGATATTGTATTTTAAAATTTTATTTCCAAGACTTCCCAAAACCTTGATTACTAGGAAATTAGATATTGATTTACGTGGCAAAAGAACTTTTATCAAACTTTTGGTGTCGATATCGTCTAATTATTAAAAAATTAAAATCAAATTAAGTAAATAAATTAGGTCTCCGACAAATTTTATTCATTGAATACGCACAAGCTCACCTAATTTTCCAGTAAGTATAACATTTAAAACTTCAGCTATTTGCGCCACTTCAAGACCGCTGTATAAAACCAGTTTATCTAATTCAAGAATTTGATTTTTCACAAGTTTTTTGATATTTTTAACGCCCGCGTCTAAAATTTTGTTATCGGAATATTATTATTTTTTTTAAAAAATTTTACAAAGCAAAGAATATTAAAATAAATGAATTACGTGTAATAATGAAAATTTTGATAGATAATTTTCTTTGACCCTAACAACATACTTTGAGCTATATAATGTATCTTTTCGTTAATAAGTTTATCGATATTATTCGTACTTTCTGAATGCAAGATTTCATTCTCTTCGTGAGCGTCAAACATCATGTCAGCATGTCAGCACTAACGCGTTAAAATACTACGTCGATCACTTTATTTTAATTATCGCGTGTTGTTAATTTTGTGATCAACCAATTAAATATTTTTCTTTTTGATGAAATTTGATTGGTTTGCAAAAAGTGTGAATGGACATTCGTTATATCACGAGGTGATAAAATCAAATGTCAATCTTTTTTATATCGTGTAACATAAGATGTCAATCGATTTAAGTAGAAAATCATATTTTCTTATGTAAAATTACCTTTTTTATACATAATTTATCTATTTTTAGTAATAATTTGTGCACATTTTATGTTGTGTAATATATGTACACAAAAAATTAATGTATACATTATGCACATTGTGCACATAGATTTTACACACTGGACATGATATTTTTTCAAAAACTAATTTATCAATATGAATATTAACCTAGTTTTTATAAAGCATTTTTAAAATCTACCAATATATTTTCTTCTATTACTTCATTTTCTTCTTCTTTCTCTTCTTTATTTTTATTATCTAATATTTCATTATCTAATAAACTATTATTAATATTATCATCTTTTTCTAATCTTTTTATATAGAAGCTTACATTAAAGACAACATCCTTTTATATAAATCAAAATAATAATTACACTTATTATTTCATTCTGCAAAACATTTATGATAAAAAGCATATTCACATATCAATATTATACTTTCTTTTTTATCTAAATATTTAAATTATTAAGTATATTAATTTTGATATATATTAGCTTTTATAACCTTAATTAAACAATCTTTGGATCATTTTTATTTTAAGCTTTAACTTTAGATAGACTATTATTAGTATTTATTGTTATCCAACTATTGATTAGGCAGACTGAAACACATAATCAATTGAATTAGCAATAAGATTTAACTTAATCTTTACGATAAATTGGGAGAGACTTTAATTATGTTTGACTTCAGTTGACATTGGTATACTTTCATGATTAAGTTTCTGAATTGGCAAGTATAAAGACTTTAATTCATCACATATAACTCATAATTCTTCTAATATTAAGAAAATTACCTTAATGATATTATAATAGATATATTATAATCAAGTTGTTGATACATAGCTTAAAGTATTTTACAGTATTAATACTTGGTGATTAAGGTTACTGGATAAAATCTATAGGTTTAGACAACTGATAAAATTAAAATCAGTTTAAATGTTTTGACAAAAAGCTTTAAAAATGTGCGAAACATTTTACAGGTTTCATAATTTCGTAAATTTTTATATGGTATTTAATAGAATTTTGCCAATTTATATAGTATTATAACGTATGTATTAATTAATAAAAACAAACCTAAATATTTTAAAAAAATTATGCAAATAATAGTCTAAAATAATTTTAATCTTCAAATATATTTATTGTCATTATTTTAATTTATTAATTACTGTTTTTTTATTTTAACAAATATTATTAATTATTTTATATTTATAAAAGATTTTTTAATTATTATCTATTATGAAACAATAAATTCTTTGCTTATTTTATCTATTTTTATCTAAAAAGACTTTAGAATTTTTTTTTTAAAAAAAAAAAAATAAATTACTTTCAATTTATTAATTACTTTTATTTTCTTTTTAAATCAAGTTAATATAAATTTAAATCAGAAGTATTTTATTTAGTATCGTAAAAATTATATTTATTATATACAATATTTGAAAAAAAAATTTAAGTAATATATTGATTAACTAAATTATCAATATCATAATCTAATATACTACTTTCTTTTTCCTTATTACTATCTGATATAGATTCTACGTCAAAATCAACATCATCTAAATCATCAATTGGTATATTACCAATATGTTCTAATATCTTATGATATTTTAAATTAACATCATTTTCAATTCAAACTTTTTCAATTAAAACACATTTGATACGGATTTACATTCTTTTAGCAGTCTGTTTATACTGTCCCGCATTATTATCATAAGCTTTACCTTATCAAGATAAGGCTTTCTACGACATGCAGTGGGTATTCCAAACGGACCCAAACCCCTAGCAACCTCTCCATAAATTACTTCGAATTTATTAGATGTTTTGACGAGAGTACTTTTCATATCAACACGTCTTCCTATTCGTGCTTTTTTAAACGGATTTCCCCCTTTGTTACGCGCATGATTTGTAGATAAGGCTTGAATTTCTCCCCTTACATACAGAATAGTATTATTAATTCTGAATAATTGAAACCTGCCCAAAAACAAATTTAAATAAATGACTTACCAAGCACTCTTAATCTTATCGGAATTAAATACCCCACGAAAAAGCGGAAACGTTGAGCTCATTTTTAGCTCTTCCTCCGTCATCATTCCTTAGAAACTATGTACATCGCTTTTCCTGTACAACAATCCAGAGTCAAATGCCATGACCAGATAATAAGACATAATCAAAAAAAATATATATATACATACATAAACTGGATGTTTACATCTAGTTTTTTAATATCATGATTGTCAATCATCTTTTTCTCACAATTATTATCAAAATATTCTTGTATATTTTTTTCTGGAGGTATTGTTTTCCAGGAAATTTTATCGGCAAAGTCTTGCGACGGTTGCATTATATCCTCTTCTGTGAGCTGTTTACAGTCAAATAAACTTTCTCTGGTTAAATCCATAACTCCCCAATATGCAGGTCTATTGGATGGAAATTATATAGAATATTCAATTATTGGACAATTACTAAAATAATGATAAAAGATATCAAACTTACGTGAAAATCCTACGGGCTTTTGGAATTTTATTTTCATATTTGTGAAAGGCTTCAATGATGTTCGCATCCATAATTTTTTGTCGAATCTATTTAGAATAATAAATGAGCTTACTAATATAATGTTCTCAACTGTTAATGCTAAGTTTTACCTTTGATGAGCTATTACCACTTGCCCGTGGCAGTTTGTTCTCTTGTTCAAGTAATTTTGCGTCTATACTTTCTATAAGAGCGTCTTCACTTGACTCATCAAATAATAACGTCAACCCTTCGTAATCCGACTCATCACCATCCCTTTTTCTTTTCAAGTTATTTTCATAAACTGACTTTCCGTTCGTTTCAGTGGAATCGACCTTATCTGAACTAGTGCCTTTGGAAGACGTATTAGCAACATTGTCATCGAATCTTATCTATTTGAAATTTAAAAGGCAAAAGAGAAGATTAGCTATTATACGAAAAAAATGATTTAGCCATTACCAACCTTTTCGCTCTCCGACCCCTTTGTTTAAAAACAAAAATTAAAAATTAACCGTTGTTTTTTTAGAGCGCAATTAAAAAATTCATTCTTTTGTTTATTTTATAAAGCTTACATTAACAGGAGGATTTGGTTCTGATATGTTATTTCCCCCGGTAAGTATACGGTTTGCAACAGAGAAATGATGCTGTGCCTATATTAAAGAAGTAAGAAATACATGATTATACATCGTAAACTCCATAATATTTTATTTTATCTCACTTGGAAGCTTCGAAGCGTTTTTCTCAATTTTGTCAAGTTTTCTGGCGTGCATTTCCTCATCCCAGAAAAGATATACTCGACCACCTTTCTGTGATTCAAACTAGGGAAGTAGTTAGACAATATATTCTTACGTGAATTTGTTCCTTTAGACATTTCGCCATTTCCTGCTCGTTCTCGACGCCGTTTGCTATAAACCATTCGACTTGTTCATTAAAAGCCCTTGTTACCGTTGCTTTATCTAGTTCAACTGATAAGGTGTTTATCCAAAAATTATGATAGTCTAATGGATCCCAATCGCCTACAAAAGTTTGAGTAAAGTAATCAAACCCGTCCTTTTTAGATATATTGGACATCATAGTAGTAATCTTCGCTAGAGAAAAGAGTAAATTTGTATTCATTAAAAGTAAAAAACGCGTTTATTGCAGTGGTTACGCAACTAAATGTCACATTATATCAGCGCGTCATTGTCCGAAGGAGACTTTTCCACCGAACTAAACAGAAATAAATTACTTTCTTTTTCCCATCATCAGCTGACTTTGGGCTCATTTCTTTTACAGATAGCAGGGATCGTTTGGTCCACGCGCTGTTAAGGCCTTTCTGATTGTCCATATACTGTAGTAAATTCGCAATAATTGTCAGTTTAAAGTTAAAAAAATCTATGTATGACCTATGAAACTTATCGCGATGTTCTTTCAAGAAACCCTGCAATCCATGCAATTTATCATCAAGCCACTTCCGGTTTTAAAATTTGCGATAGCAATTACCCAGTCACAATTAATAAATTCACAAATAATTCAATTCTTTGA